CCGGTAAAACAAAATTATACATATATTAAGTACCTGATTTGTACACAATCATAAAATGTGATTCTGCAGCATTGGCCATTTTATAGACTAATAATAAATTCCTAACATTTGAGATAAGTTGTAGTTGCATGAACTAAGGCATCCTCAGGTGATGAGAGCTCAACTAGTCGTATATTAGCATAATGACACCAGAATTTTCTTTTTATTTGACATCAGAAGTTTATTAGCTATCCTTAACAAGTTTTGCCTGCCTATGGTTAGATTTTGCATGAAGGTGCCAACTGAGTAAGTGGAAATTAATTCAATAAGAATCAGTTTGTATCATTGTACATGTTACCTGAATAGACGATTAGTGGAAAATAACATGGAGTACTGCTCTTCTTGTGATATTAATTAAAAACAGCCTTCATTTTAAAATACAGCAATAAAAAAATCATGCATGGACTTCATTAACATACCCAGTTATATGAGAGTGTTCACTGTGGTTTGAAGAAGTATTTTTGTGATACATAAATACATCAAAGTCAGCATTCTCATGTTCCACTTGTGTCAACTATAATATGCTCATATATTTGTGTATTTCCTTTAAAACTTGAGGCAAACAAAAACTCACGGTTATCAGCCAATACAGCAGTGAATGCCCTTGGAGCCTGGATGATGACTTCATTAAATTTCATAAATTTTCCTTTGGCTGTGTCCCATTGAAAAATCTCAGTAAATGAATAGTCATTTCCCAGAATGGCGTATCGCCATTTATTTAATTTAAGAGGCTGCAATACCATGGATCCCCGTGATGGAAATGTCTGTACTTCCACAAACATGGAAACATTCCATTTCATTATTGTGGAGTCACCAAGGAATCTTGTTAAGCAAATATATAAATTGTCTCTGATTTTAAAATGTTTAACTGCATATACATTATCTGTCTCAGGAATATCAATACGCCAAACAAATTCTTTCCTCCCTTTGTTCCATTGATAGATAACAGGTCGTTGGAAAAGACTTAGTAAGATTAAATGTGGCTTGTTAGCTATTTCAAGGTACTCCACATCTATATCTCTGTACCAACGATGCAATGATTGATGAGAGTAAAATCCATTTCCATTCCATTTATATATCGTAGTAGTCCCACCCTTGGAGCTGTCAGCAATAACGAAAAACCATTCTCCTTCTATTTGAAATGATTCAATATCATTTGGCTTTCTGATTTTTGAAGTATCTATATCCTGGATCTTAATAAACTTGTTGGCAGAAATATCCCTTTTGTAAATGTGAGAGCCACCAAAAAGCCGGGCAACAACTACAAACAGCTGATTGTCAATGATCAGTGGTTTACAGAATACTGTAGAAGTGCCTGTGTAAAGAACCAAATAAAATCAGAAACAATGCAGACACAGACAGTAATGATGTTTTCTACTTTAACTCAGAGACATTCATACCAGTAATGTTGTCGAAATTCCTGAAGACCATTTCAACATGATCCCATTCAAGGATGCCACAGTTTCCAGCCACAGGTTGGGCAATTGCTACATAAATATCATTCATGTAAGTGAAGCTTTCAATTGACAAGGACTGAAATTTCAAGGTCTGGTAAATGACAAAATCTATGAAAAAGAAAAAAACACATTTATTAAATCTAACTATTCATCAGAATTTAGTTACTGACACATTACTGAAGCTAGGACAGGAAAATTGAACTTTTTTAGATCTCTGCCCTTAAATCTGTTCACTGCCTTAAAGTATTACGGATGACTGAAGTTTAACTCTTAAAGGAACAAGTCTTTGCATTGCTGCAACCAACTGGCCCTAAGGGAAGGGACCATGAGGCATTAGGAAAGTACCAGTAGGCAGTAGGGAATGAACTACAAGGGGAAAGAATGAATAGGCACCATATATAAATTACATCATTACTGTTACAAACTCTAGACTCTAGCCACCAACTCCAGGCCTATTCCTGGCAAACATCTGAGGCTGAACCAGAATGTTGCAACCTTGCAACCTAAAATAAGCATCCAACCACAATTTCACCATCACTAGGACATCCCATTTGAACATTTGTTTCTTTGTCCGATTCTAAACCTGCTTCAGGTCATGTAGCATTGAAACACTCACATGTGCCTTTGTTACCTCCATGTTTGACTGTTCTGGACTGCCCTCTGACATTCTATCATATGTAACGTTTCAGTCATCTAAAACTGAAGCCAGTTTCCCAACTTGTGGCAAGTCCCATCGCTACCAGAAAATTTTGACATCATTCTTGCTCAACAGTGTTTGATCACACTTAGTTGCAATTATCAGAGTGCCAAAGCATTTGGCCCCTATTATATCTAATAATGATTTATCAAAATCAATGAATGTGAATGGAAATAACATAGCATTTGAACTACATCAACTGCAAACCTTTATTTGCCTTTAAAGTGGCAAGCAGAATTCAACCGAAATCACTGAAAATCAACTGATAAGCAACTAAGCTGAGAGAAAAGCACCAAAGCAAATCCTCAGATCAGGAGCGAACAAGCTTGTCAAGTATTTTCAGTAAATCTGAGATATTTTTCTAAGTTCAAACTGTAGTATCATGAAACGTGTGATTGTTTAACTTATTTTACCTGTTGAACTTCTTAACATTACACATGGTGAAATACAAGTGTTGGAGGTGATGCAGGCCTCCATTTTGTCCTGGGTTGTGTTGTCCTCCTGCTCCAGAATCTCAATCATCAGGGACTTGAGAATAGCAGCCAACTAGATAGCAGCTGTTAGGGAGGGAATTTCAATTTTTTGATCCAGGGACAGCGAATCAATGGTGACATATTTCCATGCCAGGATGGTGAGGGGCTTGGAGGGGAACTTGCAGGTGGTGGCGTAACCATATATCTGTCGCCCTTGTCCTTCCAGATAGTACAGGTCACTATTTGGAAGATGTTGTTGAGCCTTGCAGCCCTGGCAAGTTGGTGAGTTGTTTGCTTTCGTTTTTCATTATGTATTTTAATGAACTCTTATTTCTCCCAATGTTGCCATACTCTTCCTACTACTTACATTGTTGATGATTTCTTATATAATCTCCCCATTCCCACTCAGCTGGCAAAGTGTCCCTCTATATTTTCCCAGAGGTGGTCACCCTGGAAGGGATGGCACCTATCGCTTAGTCTGCGATCAACTCTTTTTCCGAATTACACCACTTGCTTGCAAATGCACTGATACATTTAGGAGACCATCAAATACAGAATAAACATTAAAAATTTTCTGGTAAGGTTTCACTGATAAACCCTATATTGTTAACAATTTAAGAAATGTTCAATTTAAAAATCTCATTCGTTGTTTCAAATTCCTCAGTGGACTCCTCCCTACCTCAGCAACCATCTCTAGTCTTACAACCTTCTGAATATTTGCACTCTTCCAAATCTGGCCTCTTCAGAATCCCTATTTTATTTGCTCCAATATGAGTGGCATTACCTTCAGTTGCCAAGATGCTAAGTTCTGGAATTTCCTCACTAAATCTCTCTGCTTCAATAGTTTTCTTAACTCTTTTAAGATGTTTCTAAAGAAAAAGATCTCTTTAACCAAACCTTTCCCCTAACATTTCCTGTGACTCAGCATACAAATTCAGTTGATGATGCACATTGTAACTTTTCACTATATTGAAAGCACAACATGAATGCACATTGTTATTCTCAGTACTGTCTACTGAAGAAAACCCAATTGCAGTCCTAAAGGTGAGAATTTTTTTTAAAGAAAAACAATATGTATACAAATAGAACCAAAATAAATCCTGATTTAAAACATAAAATATTTGTTTTAACAATGTTAGACTCTGGAGGAACAGGTGCACACAAGTTTGGCCGCGGCCAAGCAGTTCTGAATAACGGGCTGACATCGAAGTGGGTTATTTACAACTGATGGGTGTGGTTCACCTAACCACCACCACCACCACCATCATAAACAGTCGGTAGAGTTTTTTAGTCTTAGGTACAGCCCACCTTGAAGAAGGTACTGTGACAATAAAAGTAATGAGAATACAAGAACACATTCCTTCAGTTACTCTTCCACAGTAAATGGCTCAAGAATGTTATCCCTAGGGTAGAACACAACAGACAAATTTGTAAAATAATGGAAATTAGAATAAGAAGTGAAAACGTGCATCATGAAGCAGCTGTTTTTTTCCGAAGCAGGCCAGTCTAAACGGAGGACTAGGCATGTCTGAACCGCAGGGATAACCCCAAAAAAGATAAGGCTACTAGAAGATACTGACAAGGCTTGGCCTCACTCAAACAGATCTTTAAAATGAAATTAATTAAAATTAACAAGGTGAATCAAAATGGGAAAATAAAAATAACAAATTGCTTAATAACATAAATAAAGTGCCTGCCTTATCTAGGAATGCAGGAGAGAGAAAAAATGAAAATCAGATCGTCAACATGTACGTCTGTTGATTAATCAAGTCATCATTAATAATTGACATGAAGGCATCAATAACCCAAACAGGCCTGCCTCCCAACAGAAGAAAGATCAATGGAAGTCAACAGAAGATATCTGTAGATAGATAGCAGAGGAGAAGCATAATAAAAGTTCACAATCAATTTTTGATCACACAACTTTGCCTGAAATTTGTTAACTTTTGGAGCAGATGGTAAAATCAAAATTGGAAATTCCAAAACCAGCACATCAATGATGTAACAATATAATTTTCACTTATTGATTCACCTGCAGTAAGACAGTCAAATTCTTTCAGCGGAAGGCGGCTTATTTTTGTGTCATTATACTTCCTTGGACTTGCACAATAGATCGGATCAACTGTTGCATTGGTATAAATCAACCATCCTACCAACCATTTCAGTTTGCAATCACAGTGGAAAGAGTTGCCTCTAAGATCTCTGTAGAAAAAATTACTTGGTTACAAATCACACAGCTCCAAAAGCACACCAATTGCAAACACTTATTTTCCTTTAAAACGGTCAAAATGTTCAACTGAAATCCTTACTCAACTAAAGCAAAAGCTTCATCAGTCCAGAAGCAATTAAATACTGCCATAATATTTATTTTTATTCATTCATGGGATGTTGGCATTGCTGGCCAGGGCCAGTATTTATTGCCCATTCATAATTGCCACTTGATCTGAGTGACCTGCTCGGGCCATTTCAGAAAGCAGCTAAGAGCCAACTACTTGCTGTGGGTCTGGAGTCATATATAGGCAGACCTTGTAAGAATGTTAGTTTTCCATCACGAAAGGACATCAGTGAACTAGGTGGATTTTTACAACAATTGACATGGTTGATGTTAGGCTAGGTTTAATTCCCAATTTTTACTGAATTCAAATTTCATCACCTGCCATAGCAGGATTCAAACTCGTTTCTTCAGAACATTAGCCTGGAGTTCTGGATTACTAGCCCAGTGACATTACTACCAGTCTGCCACTGCCTTCGCTAATTATACTTGATCATTTTTTTTTCAAAAAGCTGCTTTATTTTATTAATTAATCAAAGTGTCCCAAAATCCACAGTTCAATGCAATGTATTCAGCCCATTGTCTGCTTATTGGGCTCTGTTAGGGAAATGGATGCTTACTATCCATTCATCCAGGGCACTTAACTTGACACAGCTCAATTAAATCTCAACTCAGCTTACGCTACTTCAAAGAAAACAGACCCAATCTAGCAAATCTTTTATTAATTGCTTTAAAAAAATTGCCAAAGCTTTCCACCTTGCATTTATCAACATATTTTGCAGGAAATACCAATGCGACAGGAAAACAACATAAATATTGTACAACAGGAGAGTGTTGTTCTTTGGCAAGTGGATTCTGATTGACTGAGGCATTACCATGGAAAATACACCAATTAATGATGACTGACAGTTAGCTTCCAGCTTTGATTAAATTTTAAACTAAGCAGGTTGACACTAATTGGTCATGGTATCACCCTGAGAAATGAACCAGCAAATGATTTATTTATTTTGTTGTGCTGAAATAGATGCAGTGCATGTACGCATTCTTTCCATTAAGAAGAGGGTCCTATGAAGTAATAAATGTGTAACTTCCAGTACATGCACATGTGCCACAATGCAACCCTGACTGACTCTTGTCAGTGTAATCCATCGTTTGTTGGGACTATTTAGCTGTATAGATTTACATAAAAGCATCAGGCTTCTGGTGATAAATAGAGAGAGTTCGATCTCATGGCTTACTGTGTCCCCATATGTATGGGCTGCCCATCCTACCTGAAACATTTGACACCATTCTATTTTCAACAGTATTTGATCACACTCCTTTGCAAGTATCTGTGTTCTAAAGCAATTATTCAGTTGTTGGTTGATATTTAGTGACCTGTTGAAAACAATGACACAGCTTCCAAAGCATGTAAAGTGCAAACATTTATTTTCCTTTAAAACAGTCACCAATGTTCAACTGAAGTTATTGGAAATCAATTGAAACAAAAGCTTGATCAGTCTGGAAGTAATCAACAGAATGAAAAACTCAGAAATTAGAATTCTTCTATGTCCAAGGAAAGGAAGAACTCGGATAAATCTAAACTATATTTCTAAGTCGAAGCTGCAATTATGTTTTTTTAGACAGGTCATTGCAATGATTATTATTTTGTTATTAATATTAGTTATATTGTTTGTTGTAATTATTATGTTTGGATATTATAATGTGATTTGGTATTTTTATTGTCACATATTGGAAAGTAGTCCCCAACTCTCTTTGCTTTCCTTCTCCTCTCTCTTGTTCCCTTTCACCCATTACCCCCTGTTCTTTCATTTCCAGATCCACTCAATACCCCTTCCACTCTGCCCCATCCCACTGTCATCTGCCCCCACCCTGCACCTTCTGGCCCCCAGCTCTTTCCCTCTGGTCCCCACACTTTCCCCCAACTCTGCCCCATCCCTCTCTGCCATGCATTCCTCCCCCCCACCCCGCACTGCTCTTCTCAGCACCAATTCCCCTTACCCAACAAACACCCTCTGCCCTCAGCACCACTTCATACCTTCTTCCCAACAACTCTTCTCCTAGCATTCTTCCCACTTTCCCCTCCTTTTGATGTAAACCTCACTGGGGTATCTGGTTTTCTTGGGCGGTAAAACAACATGGAATTTGGGCAAGACCGTGCCCAGGGTTATTGTGACTCCTTTTAGTAATCTGTTGAGTTATGGTAAGCTGCAGGTAGTGGATTTGATGCACATCTCTTTTGTCATCCTAGCTCACATAGTTCACTCAGCTCTCAGATCTCAGCAGTGAGGTACAACAGCAGTCAGGGCTGATAGTGAGGAAGTTCTAGGCTTTTCACCCAGTGATAATGAAGTAAACACAATGTACATGATCAAGTCAGGGTGCTGCTCCAGTCCAAAAACAACCCTCCACTACCACCCTGTCTTCTACCTAGAAGCCAATTTTGTATCGAATTGGTTACCTCTCCCTGTATTCCATGTGATCTAACCTTGCTAAACTGTCTACCATGCAGAACTTTGTCCAATGCCTTGCTGAAGTTCATATGGACAATGTTTATCGCTCTGCCTTCATCAAACTTCTTTGTCACTTCAAAAAAAACTCAATCAAGTTAGTGAGACACAATTTCCCATGCACAAAGCTATGCTGACTATCCCTAAATGGTCCTCGCCATTCCAAATGCATGTAAATCCTGTCCCTTAGATTCCCCTCCGACAATATACTTACCACTGACGTCAGGCTCGCTGGTCTGTAGTTCCTTGATTTTTCTTTACCACCTTTCTTAAATAATAGCACCACATTAGCCAACCTCCAGTCTTCTGGCACCTGACCCATGGCTATGTATCAATGATACTCAGCAAGGCTATCTCAGCAAGGGGCCCAGCAATCTCTTCCCTAGCTTACCATAAAGTTCTGGGATATACTTGATTAGGTCCTGGGGATTTATCCACCTTTATGCATTTTAAGAACTACAGCATCTCTCTTTTATAATATGGACACTTTTCAAGGTATCACTATTTTTTTCCCCAAGTTCTCTCGCTTCCAAATTCTTCTACATACTGATACGAAATACTCGCCCATCTCCTGTGATTCCACACAAAGGCCTTGTTGATCTTTAAGGGGCCCTATTCTGTCCCTAGTTACTCTTTTGCCCTTGATGCATTTGTAGAATCTCTCTGGATTCTCCTTAACCCTATATGCCAAAGATTACTCACGTCCCCTTTTTGGCCTCCATATTTCTCTCTCATGTACACTCCTACCGCCCTTATACTCCTCTAGGGATTCATTCGATCCCTGCTGTCTATGCCTGACATATGCCTCCTCCTTTTCCTTGATCAGTACCTCAATTTTGCTAGTCATCCAGCATTCTCTACACCTACCAATGTTGCCCTTTGCACTAACAGGAACATACTGTCTCTGAACTTGCATTATCCCAATTTTGAAGCTCTTCCATTTTTCAACCATCCCTTTACCTGTGAATAGCCTCTCCCAATCAACTTTTGAAGGTTCTTGCCTAATACCATCAAAATTGGCCTTACTCCAATTTAGAACTTTAATTTTTAGATCAGGTCTATTCTTTTCCATAATTATTTTAAAACTAATAGAATTATGATCACTGGCCCCAAAGTGCTTCCCCACTGACAGCTCACTCATTTGCCCTGCCTTATTTCCCAAGGGAAGGTGAAGCTAGTTGTTTCATACTGCTACTATGCAGGAGCAACACAAGCGACATTCATCCCTATCAGGGTGTTGCCATCAAGTTAAAAGACATTCTGCATTTCACACAAATGAATAATGCGGTTTATGACATTCAGTGCCGGTGTGATGCTAAGTATGTAGGACATATGTCTCAGAGATTAGTGGATCATATCAAAGAGTATCTCTCTTCAATGTTCACAACAAGCTAGGTCCTGACTATTCCCAATAAGTCCACGTTTACAAAACAGTGTCCAATGCGCGATGTAATTCTGTATTTGGACAAAAATTGCTAAGGAATCCTGAGTGTGTGACAAATTATGCAGATATCTGATTTTCCATGATAGTCTGGCTTGCAGTTGAAGCACTTGCATGTACTGGAATATATTAAAACAGAGGGTCTTTATTTGCAGACATAAAGAACATATACACACACTGCATCCATTCTTTGGTTCATTTCTCAGGCTAATGCCTTGACTAATCAGAATCAACATTCCTGGGTAAAAAAAAATAAACAAAGCTTATCAGTTAATAGTCAGTCATCTATAACTGGTAGATTCTTCATGACAAAACTTGCCATCTCTTTACATTCATATTTCTTGTGAATTGTTCTGATGAATGCAAGACAAATGGCTTTGACAAAATGCCTCTTTCTTTAGCATTAATCAAGTTCTGCACTACCAAATGAGTAAATCTTTATTTATTGCTAAAAAGATCCATATCTGGAAACATCTTATACATTTCCTGTTCCTTTGCTACTGCAACTTCTTGTAATGTAATGTCAAACAGTACACTACACTCTAGTTGCAGTCTAACTAGTATTTAATGCTGTTCTAGCAGAGTGTTCCTGTTCTTATACTCTTCCCATTAGTCTTCTTGACCATCTTATTTACCTGTTATGTTATTTTCAGGCAACTGTGGACATGTCGACAAACAGAAGAATCTTGGAGTACATTCCCCACTACCCGACCTTTTCTTTTGCATTCTCTTGCCTTGTTTGTCCTCTCAAGATGCAAAATTTTACATTTTTCTATATTTCATTTGCCACTTTTCTGCCCTTCTGACTAATGATTCAATATTTTATTGCTACTTACAGTCTTCTCCCTTATTCTCAAAGCACTCAATAAATTGTTGCAACATTTGAAAGATTCTTAATCATACCTCCTAATCTAATTCTAAATCATTGATACATACCACAAACAGTAAGGGACCTAGTACTGACCCCTGAGTATGTTGATTAGTCACAAATTCACCTGTCAACCATAAGCGAATTTTGGATCCAACCCGATACCCTTAGATCCCACAAGCATTTAAATTTTTGACCGATCTGCTGAGGGTGGGATGGAGGGCATTCCTTGTCTATTGTCCTGCTGAAATCCATTCAGATGACATCAAATATATTGCCTTCATCAGCCCTGCTTGTTACCTCTTCAAAAGTTCAACTAAGTTAATTGCAGTTAGCAGTGCAAGTCAGGTTAACAGTTAGCAAATAGCAGTCAATTACCTGTAAATTACTAAATCAAAAGTTATCATGAATTTGGAAGCTTACTGAGTAACTGTAATTTAAGTGTGGCCAAAAAGTTGGATAATATATGATTTCTGCTAAATCACAGAGTGTAACCACAGGTTTGGAGTAATTGGGTGCTCCGTAAACCAGGTGGAAAGTTTAGAACTTGATGACAGTTTAAATTCTGTTGACGCAGTCAGGGAAAGGAAATGTTACATTTTGTCTTTATTAACTAAAATCTGTCCAAACTTGAGCCTAGTTTGGCAGATTTAAACATTGCTTTGGAGGTGACAACAGCAAACCCTATTGAGAGATGATGTGGAAGTGCCGGTGTTGGAAATCACACGACACCACCTATCGACAGAAGAAGAGCAATCAACATTAAGCAGAGGGAAAAATTCAAAATTCGAGCATGCAGTTATGTAGAGGTAAGTATTTAAATTATTACTTGACACTTTTAGCAGTTAATACTTTTTTAAAATTTAGCAGTTAGTATTTGCTTTGGTATTCATCAAAATCAAGCACTTTAGTTAATTTTTTTGAGCCCAAGTTCAAATTGATGTCTTTGAAGAAAATTTACAAAAATTATAATATCTTCTCAAATACGAAGGTTGGTGGAGTTGTGGACAGCGTTGGAGGGCTGTTGTAGGTTGCAACAGGACATTGACAGGATGCAGAGCTGGGCAAAGAAGTGGCAGATGGAATTCAACCTGGCAAAGTGTGAAGTGATTCATTTTGGAAGGTTGAATTTGAATGCAGAATACAGGGTTAATGTCAGGATTCTTGGCAGTGTGGAAGAACAGAGGGATCTTGGGGTCCATGTCCATAGATCCCTCAAAGTTGCTACCCAAGTGGAAAGGGTTGTAAAGAAGACATATGGTGTGTTGGCTTTCGTTGGCAGGGGAATTGAGTTTAAGAGCCGTGAGGTTATGCTGCAGCTCTATAAAGCTCTGGTTAGACCACACTTGGAATATTGTGTTCAGTTCTGCACACCTCATTATAGGAAAGAAGTGGAAGCTTTAGAGAGGGTGCAGAGGAGATTTACCAGGATGCTGCCTGGACTGGAGGGCAGGTCTTATGAGGAAAGGTTGAGGGAGCTAGGACTTTTTTCATTGGAGCGAAGAAGGACAAGAGGTGACTTTATAGAGGTGTACAAGATGATGAGAGGCATAGATAGAGTGGATAGTCAGAGACTTTTTCCCAGGGCGGAAATGACTATTACGAGGGGGCCTAATTTCAAGGTGATTGGAGGAAGGTATAGGGGAGATGTCAGAGGTAGGTTTTTTACACAGAGAGTGATGGGCGTGTGGAATGCGCTGCCAGTAGTGACTGTGGAGTCAGATTTTTAAGCGACTCTTCGATAGGCACATGGGGTATAGTAAAATTTAGGGTATGCAGGGTCGTTTGATCTTAGTAGGATAATAGGTCGGCACAACATCATGGGCTGAAGGGCCTGTACTGTGCTGTACTGTTCTATGTTCTATTTGCAATCGCATGAATATTCTAGATGATTGGATACCAGATAATGGGGAATTTACTATAGTAAGGTCTTGGCAGTTAAATGGTAATTCCCCTATCTCTGAGACAGGAGACCTAGTTTAAAAACCCACCTACTCCAGAGATGTGTAATAACATTTCCCAGGTTCATTATAAAATATCTATAGTAAGCTCTTCATGCACATGACTCTTCTCTCTCAAGAATAAGGCTGCATTTAGTATGGTGATAACATTTAAAGATCAACTTTAGCATATAAATCAATTATTGAGTAAACTCACTTCAGCAACACTTATAAAACCTATCTACTAGAAGTTTTTTGTTGTACAAAGATTATATATCTACACCTTATAGCACAATAAAATAAAGCTCAAAGTATTGTGAAGGGTAAATAACTCTCTTACATATTAGTTAATGAATCCAGGCCTTTGAATAAGTCTTTAGGAAGGGTTTGAAGGTTGTTATTCGCCAAACTTCTGTTGAAAGCAAATAAAAAAAAGACAATATATTAGTAATGAATAACTTTTCAGCTGTTACTCCAACCAATTTCCCTTTGATACTCATTAACATGACTTAAGACTGGAAGGGGCAAGTACGAATGATACCCTACGCCAACATGTTTCTCATTTTCCAGCATCTGCAGTTCCTACTATCTCTGTTTCTCATTTCGATGCTTTTTTGAAACACCAGTTGGCATTTTGTTTTTGTTGTACACAGTTTTTTTTTAGAAAATGAAATTTATTACAACTCAGCAAATAACATTTCTAACTCCACCTCTCATAAATTCAGTATTGGGTAAATCAGGAGCCTAGGCCTTCAAATTAGCTGGATCCTGAAATTTGAAATGCTAATAATTATTTTAGCAAAACTAAATTTTGTTACAGCTGTTAAATGGTTAGACTTAGTTTTACCAACTTTGGAACCTAGTTGTGGTATAGGATTTTATCAGCTGTTTTCTCTGTTACTTGTTTAACATTTTCCTTAACAGTTATGAGATCAATAACACCACATTTGGTCATTCAGAATGTAAATAAAAGGCCCATTTTGTATGTTAAAACCATTTTTGAATGGATTAATTTTTAATGTTCAATCTTGAAAAGCAGTTTTAAAGTTCTTTAAGTGCATTTATGAACTTTTTTTGAAAAAGACTCTTAAAAATAAGCAATTAAAACATTTTTACAAAAATATACATTATTCAGAACATTCATAAACACATATTACATAACAGTTCAAACGTGACATGACATAAATGGATGAGGTGTGTCAGTACAATTGCCATTAAAGACTATACTTATGTATTTACGTTTCATGTCAACATTCTGTGGTGCTGAAGTTTTACCCTGTTTCCAGTTCCTTGACGTGCTATGGCAAAAGGACCTTAGATTTCAACTGAGGCTTTAATGAGCTGACATTGTTTTCCCCAGAGGCTGTAAATAACAAGCAAAACAGCTGTGTATCGAAATATCAAAAATGAGTTCAAAAAACTCTGACATCTTTGATACCTTTCTTGGCTGTGATGGAGTTAATCAAAAGAGTTTGAAACAGAGTGCATTGAGACCATCAAGCAGCAAATGCTGAAAAAAGTCCAGATTGCAGGGATAAACAGAAATGATTATGTCTAACTCAGATAACCCACTGATATGATCATAATGGTTGTTCTTCTTTTCGTAAAATTACATTAAGATAAATTATACAGATGCTGTACTGTAGATTTTTGGAGTACAGCAACTTATCAGCCCAAAACAGGGCCTAAGTTTAAGAAATGCACTTATAAAAGGCATGACTATCCAGTTCAAGTCACAAGGGGGTACTATCATTACACTGTATGTCAAGTACATTGGGCAATTTGAGTCATGTTCTATAAAAGTGAGACTGTTAATTTGAGTTAGCGCAGATTTCAATGTTCAGCTGCCTCCTCGTGACCATTAATCATTATGCAAACACTGCTTAATGGATTTTGTTTAGATGTTACATATAGTAAATGCAGAAGAAACTGTTCTCATCAGTTGAACCTGTACTTAAGCCAAAGTCTCAGCTCTAAGAGCTGAGTTAGAGGATATACACGGCTCACAAATCCTACTCTAAATAATAGATGACTTGCCTATTTGTTTTCATGGTCTAAATCTTAGGACTTTTGCTTTGTTATAATGCAATGAATACAGCATTTATCTGACTTCAGAAACCTGCTGATATTGGATAAAACATGAGCACAGAATGCATACGGTTAGTTGCGAAATAATGCAACAGAATATAAACAATTCATCAGATGACAGTGAATTGGGCAGCAATCAGAGACACTTCATTAGCGAACCGTGCTAACATGATAAATGCTATGTCAATTGAGTGTGGATATGTGAAGCTGTATTTGTGCTTAAGAGCAGCTGGTACTAAAGTAAAATGGTGATAAATTGCATCATAAGTGCCCATAAATCTGTGTTAAGCAGAGCTTTGAGCTACATGAAGAAACCCCTAAGTAACCTGATATACCTACAACATGCACAATGTCAAATGAGAACAAATTCAAACATACTGATGAAGTAAATATGAGAAAAATGTATTTACTTTTGAATTTGTTCAAATTTCACAATGGCCTGATCTTGTAAAGTAAAAGGCACTGAAAAAATGCTGGGATTTAGGCCTGGAAAAACTCAGTAATCTTGTTCTGTTTAGCATACCGTCTTCAGATGAGAATAACATGTCAGCATTACAGACAAACCTGGTTTCTATTTATCTGTGCTGCAGTGTGAAATCCCAGAGCAACATAACAGCCTCTACAGCTACAGAAACAAGCAGGTAAGAAGGCAGGCTTTAATCAGCTCTTCAGGATCATCGGAGTAATATTCTTCCTTTCAGAAGGTTGACACATTTTATGCTTTTTGCTGATTCACACGTCAAAAATTGAGAGGTTATCCAGGCCATTTTGTCAGCCTCATACTGTATGGGTAGCCTGTCATACACAATACAACGGGGCTTATTGGACTTTCTACTTACAAGAAATGACATCTTTTCAGTGTCATACACTCTGGTGTAGACTATAGCAGGAATACATTCCTTGTATTGTTTTCCACAACTACACATTTTATCTTTAAATATTAAGGAACACTCTGGTTAAAAAAAAGAGGAAGACAGTCCAGTGGCATCTATGTTAAAACTGTCTCGTGGCGTATACACGTTCAGGACATGGGCAAGACCATTTTGCAGCCATTGCTGCAGACTTGTCTGTAATTTCATACTCCAGTATGGCCTAACACTGATTCAGTTGGCTGGCACAGTCTTATCATAAGTGTGTAAGCATCTGGCTAATTCAGAGTTACGAGTCTGGAAATTCAATATAATCACAAGTAACCTTATTATTGGATTTCCTATTCTGCCAGCAGGAACAGCTGATAATTTCACCACCACCAGTGTTTTGGGTTAACTCAATTTAATTCATCACAATTTCACTGTAAATTGGGAAAAAAAAATTAGGTGTATATATTGGGAACAGCATCAACCTGGGAGACACTGGTATGCGAAAGGGAAATGTAGTCTACACTTAAGCTGAGATATTGTGAACAAACCTGTGTGGAAAACAGACCGGCTCCATCTACCTTTGCCAAATGTTCACTTATCAGATTAACAGACTAATCCCTAAATGATAGATATATGTCAGCAATTCTCTGCTATCCATGCAGTATTATGGGGACTATTTTGTTACATTGCATGGCTTAATGTCTTAACCAAAAGCTATTGCCTGAACAATGCAGTGCTCCCTCAGTACTGTGCTGAAGACCCTGCCTAAATTATATGCTGAAAATCTGATTTGGGATTTAAATCCATGATCTGCTGATTAAGAGATGAGAGTTGCACCAAGCTGATGTGTAAATTTTATACTTCATGATTTCAAGACAGCCTTCACAACATATTGCATAGAGAACTCATGGAAAAGATTACGTAGTATGTATTGTTGGTCAAGAAGTATGATGCACTGGTGAGGGATTGCAGTCTAGCATGGAAATAGAGTTGCCATCAATTTCATAATTGGGTAGCATTTGTCATGTCGGGTGGGCTATGGAGGTGGTGGTTAAGGTGGCCTTGATGATTAGAGCAGAAGATTGAAGGTGGCGGTGGTGCGGGTTGGGTATTGGGAAATGGATGGTTCTGGGCTCAGGGATCAAAACGGGGAAATAAATGAAAACATGAATATGGTCTGCACAAATTTGAGGAGGTTCCATGGTGTCAGAGGTTGCAAAGTATTCTGGAAGGTAAAGAATGGGTCTTAGTGAGTGACAGGTCTTCATGCCCTGGCTGATAACACCCATCAGGGATCCTGAGACTGACACTGAGGGCCATAATTGAGCAGATAACTGGATTACTGAAAATGAGATTCTGATACCTAGACTGTTCCAGCAGAACATTAAAATATACACCAGAGAAAGTTTCTTGCATCATTTTGGTACACTAAAACTACACAACAAAGTACAGGGCAGTGAGTGGGGGCTGGGGGTGGAATCTTTGGAATGGAAAAGATACTTGAGCAAAAAGACTCCCCCCTATGTGGGACTGGTAGTGGGGTAATAATGTCACTGGATTAATAATGCAGAAGAATTGGTGAAATTTGAATTCAAGAAAATCTGTAAATGGAAGATTTTAAAAAGGTAATCTAATATATCAAGCAATAAATGATAATTGTCATAAAATATATAGTTCATTAATGTTCTTCGGGGAAGGAAATCTGCCATTCTTACTTGGTCTGGCCTACATGTGATTCCAGCCTCTCAGAAATGTGGCTGACTCTTAATTACCCTCTGAAATGGCTGAGCAGGCTACTCAGGTTATGGCAAAAACTATTAAGAAATCTAAAGCAAAAGACAAACGCAGACAGCATCAACTCAAGAACTGCAAATAAAACACATACTTTGTTGACCCTCCAAAATATTCCTCTCTAACACCTGGGGTCTATGCCACTGGTGGGTCAAGCAACAGCCTGACACAGTTATAATCACAGAATCATTTGGAAGGGAGCATGATGTGGGCCTTGCATCAAGCAAGCATGAGACAGATTGGGACATACAGACCTGAGAGCATGCTCTTGAGTTCTCCTACATCCTGGCTGATGAGACCAGTTGCCTTATTTCTTCAATATCCCTACAATCCTGGACACATGGAGGCAGCCAAGCACTCACATACTGAAGCCATGATAGTGGATAGAATTTGAACAGCCTGTGTACTGTTTGCTCTATTCTAGCGAGCAGCTCTAGCATCACTGCCTGATATTGTCTGTCAGTCTCTGCATGTGCAACATGTCCACTATGATTGTGCACAGAGGTGCATCATTTGCACAGGGCTCACGAAGTATCTGATCTCCAGCAGTCCTCCAAGTAAGAAGTCAGGTGTTGCTTCCTCTGCTGGCAGTGGATCCGTATTAGTGAAATTAGTACTGGATTGTGCCCACAAGGTTACCCTAGATTGTCAACCCACCAAGGTGAATGTCTTTGTGCTGGTCGTCGGTGCAGATGAATGCCATGCTGGTGCATTAGTTTCTGTTTGGTTCGAGACATCTCTGGCAGGTTGCAGGCAAGCAATGCAAGCTTTAGCAATGCTGCAGGCTTGCAATGAGAGAAGGGCTGTCTGGATGACCTTTAAACATGGGCATGACCCCCAAATTTATCGATGAGAACTTCTGATCTGCCCATGCCATAAGATTTGCTGTTCAACTTGTACAACAACTTGCCTGCGGCAGGCATGAGCTGAAAACCATGCACGAAAAGCTCAACCCAGGCCAAACGGAAGTGACAATCTCTAACATGCCTGACACCATACTTAAGAGTCCATTGTGGAAGATTCTACCTTCTGTCATGGTTATCAGGTTAAGCTTAATGAATTGAGTACGTTCCCACTAAGTAAAATGCAGACTTAGGCAGCATGTGATTGCATCTTTAAAACAATGAAAACAGTAGATTTTGACAACTGTATTGGCACTGAACACTGATGTACAACCAAGAGATCATCAACACATTAACCTCCAAGCAAAATATTTGACGCTTGGAAGCTTTTCACTCTAGGGAAAATTCCTCTTTGTCAATAGCATTATACATTTTCAGGGGTTAATATTCCACTTGGCCAAACAAGCTCTCCCAGTCTCGATGGTTCATTATCCCTAGTCTGTATGGAAATTAGTAGATTCATCATTCATCTTTATGGGGGGAGGTGGTTCCCAGTCTGGAACATAATTTAACAGTGCCCCGACTCGGCAGCTGTTAACAGGAGTTATGCAAAAACGTTTCAAGGATATCCTGGCAACCAGCCTCCTCCCTCCTTGTCAGATTTACACCCGCCACTTTCCACATGTTGAGCCATTTACCCTATGGTTGTCATTGAAAATGAATCCATTGCAGCGCAATGCAAACTTTGTCAGAACTCACAAATGCACAGATCTTAGTATTTATTCTAAGAATCAAAGATCCACCACCATTAAACTAGCCTCCTGAAAGTTATTTTGGCAATTGATCTGTTCCTTCTACAGCTCTCCTGCCTATTAGGACCGTGTTTCCAAATTATCCCTTTCACTATTCATCAAAATCTCATTCAGCCATCAACCAATTGTCTCACATTCAAAGTAACATTCATTGATCTTTAAATTAAAACATTTTGTGTGTCTTTCAAGAATGTGGTCATATTTGGTACATACAGACCAATGAAAATAATTAATGCAACATTGTAAGGTTTTTGCTTCATAAAATTTTAAGATAAGTGAATTTGTTAAGTCACCTGGGAAAGAATTAAAATGCCCTAAACTATCCAAGTCATCCTGATAAATACTGGTGACACTATGGTAAGTACACAATAAATACTGGTGACACTATGGTAAGTACACAATGTTGAAACTGTCAAAAGTGTAACTCTCAGATCACTGAAAGCTGTACTTTGCCATTTCATGAAGAAACAATATGACTGTACTACATTTATAATCCTTTTCCAAGGCTGGCAAAGAAATCATAAAATCATGTAGCCATCTATATCACACTGGGTTAATTTTCAACTGCACCAGCTGGGAGATGCAGATCACTCTCTGGCCAAACCTTTAAACCACTGACCTATTGAAAGACCACCCAAAGCAAACAAATTTTTTTTAAATTTCCGTGAAATCTGTTCTCCTCTCATTATGCTATGCCCAAAGATTTACTCTGCTTTTTCCCTACTCATCCTGGTTGGTTGGTCCTTACACAGCAGTGCGAACAGCACAGTGGCAATGTTTTTCTTGTTATACTTTCATGGAATGTGGCTGTTGTTGCTGTTCAACATTAAGTGCTGTTTCAGAGGGCAGTTAAAGGTCACTGTGTTGAATTTTACAGCCCCTTTATGGATCTGTGCGTGATGGAATGGGGCACATAAAATATGTTGAGTGGCTAGACTACCATCTCACTATCCATCCCTGCCCCAGTCCCTATTATATGGTAGCTTGGTGGATGTTGTAATCTCAGTCTATTTTGAAAAAAAATCATAACTGGGCAATTGAGTTTGGGAAGGAAGGGGGACACATCATTTGAGGGGTACTGTGCTTGTAGCAGCAAACCCCCACTCTTCCACAGCCTAAAATGTTAGCTCTACTGTGTGACTCCTTGCCTGGACCCCAAAATCCACGTGCTATCCCGAATCCATCCCTCTGTCCTTCAGTTCACCAATTTCTCTCCTTAAAAACTTAACTCACGCCAATGACCATGTCTTTTACATTCCAGGAGTCTTCTCAGTTCCACTTAAAGTTACCCACTAAGAATAAAAGTCCCACTCACTAATTTATTTAATGTGTAGGGTGGCATTTCTGTAAAGAGGAGGGTGAGAGGCAACCATTACACCCATCCCACCCATAAAATGGACCTGGAACCTTATGTAGGCCAGACCCATTAAGGATGATAGATTTCCTTCCCTAATGGGCATTAGTAAACTATTTAGATTTAATTACCATTTAATCACCATATCAAGAATAGATGCACATTCCAGAGTTTTTACCTGAACTGTCATTGTGGGATTTGAATCAATGTATCCAGGGCTTTAGCTTTTGAGTGGACAGTACCACCATACAACCATCTCCCTATCATTTGCCATTTTTCCTTCACATTCTGCTTCAAGTTGTCTCACTGGAACACTGCTTGTATTGAACTGCTTATATAGAGTAAAAACAAATCTATTGCCTCATATTACAGCCTGCTACCTGATACCCAGAGATGGGCATGACTAGAAAGGTAATAACTTTCATAGTTACCTTTGTAATTCTATTTTCTTTTTCCAATGTTGACTACTCCTGTATGCCAGGTATTATATTTCACAGCTCTTGCTTTGCTATTCACTGTATGCCAACACATCTATGTTATAAATGAGTTATACCAAATAAATAAGGGCACCATGTTTGAGAGAAAATAAACCTGGATTAAAACTCCTTAATTCAATAACTAATTCCCTTTTGCTGAACTTAGCAGCATTAGAAGTAGCAAGTTGATCAATTTGGCCAAAGCAGTTCACTGCTACTTCCTGTAGTCAATTATATGATTTAAGGAGTCAATTAATGTAATTATACATCTACATATCATTTGGTGAAAGGAAAGAACTATTCGGCACATTCTCACAACATTGTAAATAATTTAATGTAAATTGTTAAGTAAAGGTGAAACATTCACCTAATGATTGCAATGATGTATTTATTTTAAATATTAGAACCAACGTTACGGGGCAATGATTTATGAATTAATTAACAGTAACATACTTACAAATGAGAAACTGTCTTGAGGCCTCGGAAAGCATGTCTTGAAATGGACTGGATTTTATTATTCTCTATAAAACTAGAAAAACACTGTGTTATACTATTTTGATTATTACAAATGATCATAGTAATGTAAGATGTTCAATTTTCATTCCACAAGGAATATTTAACATCTACTTACAGATATTTCAGATGATCAAGACCCTTGAATGCATCATCAGCAATTGAATAAAATGTGTTCGACGTAAACAAACTGTCAAAAAGTTAACAACTGATTAAAATTTATAAAACCGTACACAATTTTAAGCTTAATATCATTCACATTTTTGCAAACACATGACATCTACCAGCTAAAAGGACAGCAGGTGCATGAGAAGACCACCACCACCTGCACTCTCTAAAACATATATTACTTTGACATAGAACTGTATCAGTGTTCCTTCATTGTCACAGAATCAAAATCTTAAGAGTCCCTTCCCAACAGCACTGTGGGTGTACTTATTCCCAGGTGAACTGCAGAAGTTCAAGAAGGTGGCTCACAATCATCTTCTCAAGTGTAATTAGGGATGGGCAATAAATACTGATCTAGCCAGTGATCCCACATCCTGTGAAATACTGAATAAAAATCTATTCTTAGTTCAGAGCTACACCAAGACCAAGTTAAAATGGACAAAAATGTCAATCTTACGAAATATGACAGTGCATCTGTTCTTGCTGACCAAAAGTCTGAAACAGAATAAAAACACCACTTGTGAATTTAAACTTTTCAATGGTATTAGTTTGACTAAATTTTGTGATTGCTCTCCCTGCAACATGTGCACTTTTTAAATTCACTGAGCCAAACTCTCTGCAGCAAACGGGTGTGAAGTACATTTCCAGGTCAGTTAAACCAAGTTGGGAACAGCCAGGTAGAATTATCTTCTCTCACCTTTGAGACTTCTCATGCTTATTTATTCAGCTCACATTAAGAACGGGTTTGAATGGGGCCTAAATTAGCAGCTGTTGCTATTTTTTGGCTTTCCATCTGAAGATTCAGTATCACTAGGTCCATTGTACACTTATAGTATACAATGCCTTCTTTGATAATGACTTGAATCCAGAAATTGTAGCATTATACATTTTTATGCAAGAACAACACGACTCTCATCAACACATTAACATCAAATTTGCGCATCCAAACTATTTGATGTTAAGTTGTTTGACCCCAATAAAATTGATATTAAATGATCTCTACTGTTGATCAAATCTACAAGTCTTAAGAAATCTCACAATAGCTGGATAAACAGCTTGTGAAATGAATGAGTGATGTGATACAAATTGATATGAATGGCTTGATAAACAGATTCATTATTGTTACCTAAATATCAATTATTCAATTGTTAAAACATTGGGTAGAATCTTCCCAGCCCCTTAACAACAACAGCATTGGTGAGGCAGTTGGGAAAATAAGGTGGCATTGGCAGAAATCAGATTCTTGATGTCGAGAGCAAAACATCTGATTTGCCAACTGAGTTGTTGAACGGCTGAGCAGGAATCTATTAGTAAGCAGCAAGAGGCCTATTTGCATGCATTAGCATTTCATTATTATGAAATCTTGTTTTAGTCATACGTAGTTTCACATTTTCCCACCTGTCAGATGAAAACTAGATGGTAACAATTCAATCCACTTACAATATGGTTCTGCACCTCAATTCTTCACTTTAGAGGGCAATGGCAACTTTCATTGCGATGCTGCTGCCAGGTCAATCTGAATGCAGGGACAGGCACCCACCTATAGGTAGAGGACCTTGCTCTCTTAATGTTCACTCACTTTGCAACTACTTGATAGTCTTGGCATATTTAACTTGCCCTGAATATTTGCGCTTGACTCCCTCAGTCTCCCTCAGTCCTCTGTCATGGTTTACAGTCTATATCAGACACAAAACCAGGTACCTTGTCATGGTTCTGAGAAGAGTCATACTGGACTCCAAGCATGAACTCTGTTTCTTTCTCCACAGTTGCTGCCAGACTCGTTAATTTTCTCCAGTATTTTCTGTTTTATTTCAGATCTCCAGCATTCACAGCAGCTTGTTTTTACTGGCTTGTCATGGTTGTCAGCACTGAGTAGCCAACAGGATAGGCATGTTGCTGTATGTCCTTGTACTATGTGAATTTCACATCTACACCTTATGCCGGAGTGTACAGAGGGGCAAACACATTGCATCAGCACCAACCAAATACCCAAGTCAATGGGGACTAGTCCTTAGTCAATTCAAGGAAGATAGCCTTTAGTCAGGGAGCCCAGGCACAGTAAATCAAGGGCAGTGTTGGATACCAGTCCAGGGGCTTGGACACAGTCAATTGCTGCTTTGTGTGATCATTGTCAGGGGTGCACATCACCACAGTCCAGGGAGTGGGCCACAGTCAATAATATGGGTCCAGTGCAATCAGTCCAGGCATTTACAGCTCGTCAGTCAGGGAGCTGCACACAGTTCAGCAAGGGGGCTGGCTAGTCATCAGTCAAGGCTGTACATCAAGTCAGTCAACTGGGTGGACCATGCTCAATCCTTTTTACAGCATTGCTGAGTATTCCTCTGGACAATGGGAATAGCACAGACCCAGTTGGAAGCTCTGACCAAGCTAGCAGGGTCTGATGGTATGGTCTCCTCTGCCGGTCCTGCAGTAACAGGACAGCCTTTCCCTGCACCACTCCATCCACTAGAACCTTCATGTTCCTGTCAGCAAATCTGGGTGGCAACTTGCCTCTGTCAGGTATCTTCAGAGTAAACCTTCAGATAAAGAAACCAAGCACCAGGCAGCACCAGGCTGACAGTACTTGACCTGGTATAGAACAGCGTTTTAAATACTGCACTGGTACCGGATATCCCGAATGTTCCTGGCAAGAAGAAAGATAGGACAAGGTGGGTACCACAGAGTTGTGATGCATGGTTAATAAAGAAAGTTTCACAGAATAGTGTGAGAAGTCTCACTCGGGTTTACAAAGCAAAACCCTCCAAGAAAATCACCAAACCCGACACTCAGTGGATTGCTAGTGAAATTCAGCCCAAAGTTCTTCATATCAAGAGGGCTAAATGTAATAAATTCTTCACCCTTTATTTCATATAATTGGTGTTAATACAACACTTTTAACTTAGGAAAATCCCTGAAGGTGCTTTATAGAATAATAATAATAATAGAAGAAAGATAAATCCTGATACTAAGGTGGAGGTATTGGAAGGGTGAACAAAAGGAAAGCTGAAAGAGAAAAGCCTACAAAATCCATATAATTTATTGATATTTCCAATCAATGTTTTCAGGAAACAACTATTTAGTGCTATATTTGCCTTTTTCCATATAAACACACAGGGGTGGAAACGTAATGACAGACAGCTGGCGTACATTGGTGCTCACTAGCTAATAAATATCATAAACAGATGTGCGACCTCAATAGCTCCAAAATGGCTGGACAGTGGGAAAAAAAGGCAGGAGCCAGGACACAAGATATGCACTGTGCTCCTCAGACCCTGGCTTCTCTAAACTTGTGCACCTACTGCTAATTGTATATGAATTACACTCAATTATAAGCAAGCAGTGGACAATTCACTTGTACTTTTATAAATAGAGTTGTAAACTGATGGCAGTGGGGTTAGGAGGTATATATGTTTAATTCTGTGTTTAAATATTTATACATGTGTGTATAAGTTGGCTCTAATTCGATCCCTCACCAACTTGTTTTCTGGAATTATGAACATGGAAATTAAGAAAATCATTTTCAAACTGAAATCTGTGGTGGAAAACAGCAGAAAACATGTGTAAACTGTGAGGCTATGGTTCCACTCTGAGACTGAACCATATGATTAGTGAAAAATGAGGAGATTGTGTAAGCATAGGTTATTTTTGACCAAAGAGGAAACAGGGTATAGCCTCAGTATTGTTGCCAGAAGTAAATAAATGTAAAGTACTTTGAAAAATAGATGCCCATCAGTCAGATAATAATAAAGGCTTGGACTTTCTACTAGACTTGTTGGGTGAAACCTACAAGAAAGATAATCTGTCAAATGCTCATGTGTTTTATGATGTAGATCTTGAGTAAAAGAATTTGTAGGTCATGGCCTTAATAGTGATAATGTGGGTTATCAAAGCACTTAACAGAGCTATCACACACAAAGGTGAACTGTCCACAGTGAGTACTCAGGTGACACATATTCAAGAGAGATGCGACAATTGGGGGATTATTAGGAAACAATACTAGGAAGTCTAAAACAAAAACAGAAATTGCTGGAAAAACTCTGCAGGTCTGGCAGCATCTGAGGAGAGAAAGTAGATTTACTTATGCTGCCACAGATGCTGCCAGACCTGCTGAGATTTACCAGCAATTTCTGTTTTTATTTCTGAATTTGAGTAACCTCAGCTCTTTTGTTTAAAGGAAGTTTAAAGATTGGTTAAATGTTTAGAATGATAGAAAAATGTGAGAGATCATGTCAGAAATAATCTTATGGTGGAAAAAGAACTACGGTAGTTTGAGACACAAATGCTGTAGGAGTAATCCTGACAAATATAAAATTGCAGATAGAAGCAATAGATTGAATAGATCAATAAATTAATGACTGAACAGGACCAAACAGAACAGAACTAGAAGTCTTCCTTGCAAACATGAAGTGTTGGAAATAAACTAATAAAACAGACTAAATTAAATTAAATAGTTGGAGCAAGATGGGAGTTTATTCAGAGGTACCATTTAAGTGTCAACTAGCTTTTTCTTGTAAATGGATTTGTACTGATAAAATCCTTGCAGATGGGATTTCTGAGGCTGAAGCATTACAACAGGGATTACACTTCATAAAGGAATTCATCAGTGTAAAGTGCATTAAGATAACTGGTAGTCATGTAAAGCACTATATAGGTGTAATGTAAGGTACTTGGAATTTTGAAGAGCAACTAAAGGACACAGATGTTAGAATGGACTCTCCTACAGCTGGTAAAGTAATCTCAAAAATCATTTTTGGCCATCGTATCAAAAATATAAAACTGGCATTTCTGGAGGGCCATACTTTTCAAGAAGTGTTTCTGTTTCTGCAGGAAAAAGCAGCAGGTCCAGAAGGAAATCTGGGGAACTAAACAAATGTTGTTGTTTAAGGGGGTTGGTTAGCTTAGTTTGCTGGACAGTTTGTTTGCAATGCAGAATGATGCAGACAGTGTGGGTTCAATTCCCCCATCAGCTGACATTACCACGAAGGAATCTCCTTCCCAACCTCTCCCCTCACCAGAGGCATGGTAAATCTCAGCTTCAACCCACACCAGTTGTCTGTCTCTAATGAGAGAGCAGCCCTATGGTCTGGTAGGACTATGGCAAGTTTACCTTTTGTCACAATGATGATTCCAAGGTATGATATTATTTAGTGAGAGCTGTTTTGCTGAAAATAGATTGTATTCAATTAACAGCAAACCCTGCAATACTTTATTGGTACCATTAAAGTAAAATCATTGAGGCACTTCCATAATGCATGCTGATGATTTCTTATGGGATGGCGCTGCAAAATTTGGGAAATTAAAAAGGGTAGAATTTAGAATTGGAAATCAGCTTTGTGAGGCTTTTAAATGTATCAGTTTTGCATTTCAGTAGCAATCCTTTGGAATAACTTTAAATAACAAGTCCTTTTAGAGTGCTAAAATATTCACTCTTGCAGAGGAATGAATATGAAATTCTGAAACAATAATATAAATGCTACAGAAACTCAGCAGGTCTGGCAGCATCTATGGAGAGAGAGTTAATGTTTCCAATCCCGTAATGTTTCTCCAGAAATGCTATTTATCAGAAAGTGAGATTCTGCACAATGGGAGTACCCAAAGGAGAAAATGTATTGAACGTGATACCATTTGTTGTGCAATAATCGATCTGTCTGAAAAGTGAGATTGAGAAAAGGTTCAGATCAATGTTGCTGGCTTGAAACAAATGCCGGGAAGAGGAAGTGAATTTAGCAAATTATCAGCTGCCTATTTTGCAAAATTAAATTTATGCACCAATAAATTGTTAAGGTTCCTAGAAAAGGGTGTGTACAACATACTGCCATTTGTAGAACATGAAGGTTTTTGATTTAATTTGTTTTGAAATGTTGGTTTTTCAAACAAAATTTCATTTTTATTTAAAGAGAAACAGGACTCAGTTAACTGCACATTGATTACTTGTAGGTTGTCAGGCATTAGGTGGAGATTCCCTTGTGCACCTTGAAATAGACAGACTGACAATTCGTTATGACTCATAATAAATGTTGTAAAGATTAGCTCCAGTTCTATCCTCCAGCAACTGGAATTCTGGAACATTAACATTTACCCCATAACTAGATTCTTGATTGCTGTACCTAAGTTGTGACCTCCACGCTTGTCCATTTTTTCCCTGAAACTCTTCCATCACGTCCACCTCTACCCCTGCCCCACCCCAATAACACACACACACACACACACTCCTCCAGCCATTCCCAAAACACAACGATGCCGGGTGCTCTTCTCCTTCACACAGAGAAAGTGCCTCACAGATAATGGGCAGCAAGTAACCATTCACTGGACCCTGCTGCCTCACATCACTTCTCTGACATTTCCAGAAAATCACAAGAACTTCACTGTGTGACAGCAAACCTCACATTATCTATCTAGTGGGTTATGTCGAAACTGTACAATAATGGCAGCAAAAAGCTTAGTAGCATCAGCAGACTGTAAGTAACTTGATTAACAACAGTAAGATAATCTAGCCCCAGCCTTCAACACTATTACCTCTATTTGCAGCAATGCTAATGAGTTACCAGTTAATTAATTCTTATTCCCAAAAAACACAATAATTCATTACTGAACAAATGACAGCAGAAAATGCAAAATAAGAATCATCTCACAGAAGCTGGAGGGACTTTATATTCACAAAGCTTCTTTCTGGAATTTCACTGAAACCAGACTTCATGAATGACCTGAAAACAAAATGTACTTGCATGAATCAAAACAAGCTACGATATTCAGCAACTAGTAAATCTCACTCTATTGGTCCATATTAACCTAAAACAAAAATTGACATTGTATCAAACAAAGCAGAATTTGAAAATTACAATAATGATTTCTTTCATTCATTTAAAATAACTCTTGACTGTAATGGCATATATTGTTTTATAAAGAAAACAGCTACCAGTATACTTGACGTTCCTTCCAAACAAATAAAACTCAACACCAAAACACTCTATTTACTGCATGATAATTACATGTATAGATACATAAACGCATGTGGTAAGCTTTTTACATTCAGATTATAACAAAACTACATAGTTCTGGATATTGTACTTACAAATGAACTACTCCTGGGGGAAAACTCTGAGGAATCGATTTTCTGTTTTCACACTGAGCAGTTTCTTCAGTACATATACAACTTTCAGGACATTTTACTGGTCTTCGTGCGCCTATTTTTAAAAAAAGCAGACTCAATATCCAAAAGAGAGTGAATCTTACTGCAGTTTTACTAGCATTTCCCATTATGAATCCACTCAGCACAGTGACGCTGCCAAATTTTCCTGAACATAAACAATTCTTGATTTTTTTTTATTTCTTGCTTTCTGGCAAAGCAACGCTTCTTTTGAATGTTTTGATCAAACTGTAGTGGTTACACAATCCACTAATCACACACTAAATTCATGTTCAGTCTCTCTCCATTGTTATGATACACAAATTATGCAATTGAAATGTTCCCTCTTTGAAGGTTAGGGAACTTTACATTCACAATTCCTTACATATAAACCCAATTATGTGAACATGGGAAAAAAAAGCCCTCTTTCAGCCAATGTAAGTATCCAAACCACCCCCAGCTTTTACGCCAGTCCAAAACTCTGGAATGGATCACAGCAACTGCAACTGAAAACTTCAAGCTCATTTGAAAACTTGGAAGATACAATGGAAAATAAAATATACAAAGTCTAAATGTGATTTATTCTTTTGGATCTCCTCAGGCACAATAAGAGCACATTTTTCTTATCCCTAAATGGTCGGGCTTAATAAGACAATAGTTATTATAAGTTTGTTTTAGTGCGGTGTATTGAATAGACACAAGTCAAATGGGAATTGTGACAAGCCATCACAAGAAGTATTGACAGGACCCTGTTTGTTAACTTACAAAATTTTATGCCACTTTTTTAAGCTCAACTAGCAGCTAATTGATAATTGAAGCAGTCATCTACTGTAGAAATTATTCCATCATGACTGATCATATACAAATCAAGGTTACTGGTCTCAAATTGCAAAAAACATGCAGTTAATCAGCAATAATAAATAACATATTTATCTTTATCAGCAAATCTGCCTATAGTTTTGTGATAAAACAAAATCTAACATTTTCACAAAAAGCAAATAATACAAATTGCCAGATTACTGTTCTGTTTCCAAGGCTGTGAAAAGTGCTGAAACGTTTGGCTGAGATGAATAGAATATTTTTAACTGTTGATATCTAACAGGCTCAATTATGAATTGCATGACTGGAGGACACCACAAATAGGGAAAACTCCACCTAACAGATGTTATTAACTTATATAAAACAATGTTTTTAAATGTAATTGCATTTCATTTTGTTGACAATATTTTGCAATTAACAGCATTGTCTGAGAGTAGGTTTCAGAATAAAAATACATTTGGCATATTTTGTATTTTCTATACACATAGATGATTTTGGCAGCAGTTATCCTCAATGCATACAAAAAGGGTTGATTTGTAAAACTATACATAAATACATCTAAATTATTTGAAATTTACTGTGCAATCAAAGGAACAATAATCGAAAAATGACTGCTGAAATGGAGGGGTTAGCCTATGGTTATTTTTGATCTTTGAAATTTGCACAACTATTTCATTCATAACTTTATAGATTTCAGTCCATAACCAAAATGCAGATTTCCACCTTGAAGAAAAGATAAAGCAAGCAAACAGAAAAATCAACTGTTCTTATGAACAGTACTATTAGGCAGCGTATGGAAAAGGCAACTCAGACACTATGCAATTATTTGAACAAAATAGTGATATATGAATTATAAAGTATTGTACATAGGAAAGGAAAATCGATAAAACACACATTTCATGAATGATGCTTAAATAGATGAGGAGACTAGAGTCAACATATCCAAGTCATCTGGAGCAACAGTCAAAATGCAGATTGATTTCCACGATGCCAAAGAGTATGGAGTATAACACAACAATTGTTTGTTGTAATATACATTCCACATCCACTCCAGTTGTTGAAATATATCGCACTGTTGCAAGATCCCAATGGTACGCTTAACAGTTAACCTGGTTGTAGAATTATCTTTATTGCACTTGTCCCTTGCTTCTGCATGTGGCCATTTTATAGGTACTAGAGCAGGAGAGAGCTCTGCTGTTGTGGCACAGTGACAGTTCAAGTCCCACCTGCCTCAGAGGTATATAATAACATTTCCCAATAGCTTGATTGTAAAGTATCTGTAGGTACCATGAGTCATGGCTGTTGAAGAATTGCTGTGATCTTTCCTTAATCTTGACATAAACTTGACATAGAGGGCTGCACTGTAAAGTGGGCACTCACCAATACAACTTGAGGCCAGATTGATACCAGTTGTACAAGCCGACAATAACATTTCGTTTGGCGCTTAATAAGCAGTAACTCAAATGACAACATGGTTACAACTGATGAGCCACTGAATTCTTGCAGGACAACAGATTTGTACTTTTGTCTCACATTGCTGCCACTGGTCTATTGCTCCGTATGCACAAGCCTGGGAGAACAGAATGACATTTGGGACTGCTCCAATCACAGGCTGGTTCTCTCCCACACCTGCTGATGGCAGCAAAAATATGAAAGAAACAGCCCATGTTCCAAGCAGCATGATAGCTAGGAAAGTAAGTACTGGCAGCAAGAGAGTTGTCAACAGATCTGGAGCTACCTTTTGCCAGGGAGATGGACAAAAGATGGGGGAGTAGTGGTTTTCTCTCTGGTGTGAAGAGACATCTCCAAAAGGGGTGGGAGAAGGAGGAGGCTATTAAGGGTTTGTAGGGAGGGGTAGGAGGCTGCAAGAGGAAAAGTAGACTACAAGAGGGATGGGGAGGAAGGGGCAAGAAGGGTGGGGGATGCAAATGCAAGCATAGTGGGGAAGGAGAAGGATGTAAGAGGAGTTGGGGAGAGGATGAAGAGGTAAGAGGGATGAGCTACAAGAGGGCTGTAGGGAAGGTGTGGGTATGAAAGGTTACAAGAAGGGTCTGGAGGAAGATGAGGACTGCAAGAAAGTGGGGAGGAGGAAGGAGACTGAACAAATGGTGGGGGAGAAGGAAGATACAAGGGTAGTGAGGGGAGGAGGAAAATACGAGAGGCATGGGGGAATAGGCTGCAAAAGGGTATAGGAGGTGACTGCAAGGAGCATGATATTAGAGGCTGCAACAGGGAGGAGGGAGGGAGTAGAAGACTGCAAACAATTGGGGAGGAGGACACTGCAAGAGGTATGGGGAGGGACAGAGGAGGAAGAGGGAAATTGTGAGGGAGCCTGCAATGGAAGACGGTAAGGAGATTGTAAGCAGGGAAAGGGGACTATGAAGGAAAGAAAGCAATTTTAAAGCTATCAATCAAGAAAGAAAAAGTCAACTGAGAACCAGGGGAACTTGCAATCTCTGAGGTAATCAATTCTTTGCAAATGAATGTGGAATTTCTAGTTTAAGGCTGCATTGGTTCAGGAGCTACTAAATGGATGTAAAATGTAGGAGATGCTACTGTAATGAACATTTTGTATCAATTGTTATTTACCATATTTAAGTTCAAGATTTGAGATACAATAAAAAAAAGAGTTGTAAATGCTGGTTAAAATGTTTCGCCTTTTTGTACATTCTATGAAAAATCATAGCTGCAACCTCACCAGTCTGCCATAGATATATTTAGGGGATGATGTGTTTTTGTCTGTTCAAGTGTGTCAATAAATTTGGAAAAATTTGTTAACTTGTGTGTGCTATTTACCAATTTAAGTATTGTGGTGCCTACGGCATTGATGCATTCCTTGTGTGTTGTGGATTAAAGTTTAATAAGGATTGTCCATTTTTGAGGATATTGATGAATTTTTCTAATGCTGTTTCTGTGTCAGCCCAAATCCCCATTCGTCAATACCATCACGGAAGATATTGTTACCATGTGAATACATCACCTAATAAATGAGACAATAATAATGAAAAAGCAGCTCTGAAAACCAAAATGCACCCCTTCAGAAATCTCAGGAACAGCCTTTGGATTAACAATATGTTGTACCTTGGTTTGAACTGAGAAAAACCCAAGGACAATAAACAATCTGCTGAAGCAACCAGATAGTAAGGAGATCTACCAAAAACCCATTGTGCAAAATAGTGCTGAAGATTCCACTGTATGTTTCAATATCATCTTGATAGCTTTGACAATGGGAGACCAAAACATTCATTAAAATTGAGTATTCCTATGGTTTGCCAAGTCAGTTATCATATAATCATAAGCTTGTCCGTAGGTTTCAAAAGGAAGTAAAATCACGAAGACCTGCAGAATATAATAGTCACACCCTCCCAATATTTGTTGTTAAGCTCAGACTCTATCTTTGTTATAAATTGAAATTCATCACAGAGGTAGAGATTTGGGGAAAACAAGAAAAATTTCAAATGTATTAGCACCCACTTTGGAGAAGGACTGACTGCAGTTTAAAACTGCAATGTCTCCAGAAGAACAACCAGCTTACATTTGCCATACCTGCATCATAATTTCATAAACATCAAAAAATCTTTGAAACATGTAATTCTTTTTAGTTATGGAGTTCAACTTTTTTTCAACTTCACCTCCCCTACTCTATAACTTGTTCTGTTTTACATGCCAGTGTGTGTGTGTATGTTACTAGATTCAGCAATGATTTTTACCTCTTTACCTTTCACTTTGCTTGAGTGAGTTTACAATAAAGCTAATTCCTCAAGACACACATCAAGTACATTTTGACTTGAGAAATCATTTTATTTTAGAAAGATCAAGCTATGTTGTACCCAACCTCAGGCAGGAGAAGAGAGAAATTTGTTCTCCCTTGAGGACTTGCATCAGAAATTCAGCTGAAACAAAGGGACTGGATGCTCTGAGGAAGGGTCACCAGTCTCGAAACATTAAATGATTTCTCATCACAAATGTTGTCAAACCTGCAGAGCTTTTCTAACAACTTTTTGTTTGATTTTGTTTTTGTTTCTTATTTACAGCATGTGCAGTTCTTTCGGTTTTGTTTGGATTGCAAGTTTGATGAGTTGAGGGAATCGCTTTTTAAAAGTTTAAATTCATTTGACTTTAAGACATAACAGTTTAGATTTAATGAAAAATTACTGTTCATTAACAAACATTCATTACTGCACAAAAGCCATCCACTCTACGGCAAAGCTTTAAAACCTGCTCTATTAAGAAATCACC